AGCGCCTTAGATCTGTACCTAAGCTATTAAGTATTAAGGTTTGTTATTTTCGAATAACTACGACCGTTAAAGGATCGTACTTCACGTACATCACGTTAAGCAGGACTGTAAGTTGTTCTTTGTATCAAAAAGTTTGTAAATGTTCAATTGTCAAAGGTATTTATCAAAAATTGCACCAGAATAATGTATTTGGATGCCAATCATCTCTCTGGCTGCGGCATTTTCCAATTTTTCCCCTTTTCCAAGTAACCAGAAACCGGAGATAAAGTCAATTACCAGTCAATTAAGTTGTACACGTACTCGTATGTATATATGCATATAAATTATATTAAAAATTAGACACATTCAATTCAATTATAAGCCCCAATGCTTGAGCAAACACAATCTATTTATTTTTTAAAGCCGCATAGCCTCAACAAATATGTAAATCTTGTATGCCTTTGAAGTTGTTTTTAATCGCTGTTGTTTGGTTTATTTTTCCTGTCTGCTTCATCTACTCGTATTTTTTAATAGCTTGCAGTTAATTTACGTTGCTTGCTGACCAAGAAAACATAAAAGCGGCTACATTTGGTAACAACACACAGGCACACTAACCAAGAGTCGAAACTGAAAGCAGGCCAGCAGGCCAAAAAGTAAAAAAAGCTTAAGACAAAATGCCCAAAAACTGAACAGCAACAGCAACACTTGTAAATATTTTTTATCAAAATGTTTTCATTCTGCCTACGAATTTATTTTCGGGACCTTACATCAACAAACATTGCATAGAATTCTATTGAGTTGCGCCGATTTCTCAAACTCATTGAGATTGATGCGTTTCGTAAAAGTTACATGTGTTCAAAAAACTATACTATAGTATACTATACTATACATAATGTATACATAGGTACGACATCGTTCTTGTGGCTAACTGAGGCCGTTTATTTATGTATGACAGCATGATGTAAGAGTGGAAATTAAAAATTGCCAGCTATGTGGCAATTCAAAAGAATCGCAAACAAAATATGTACATTTTTTTTCGAGAATCAAAGCCAAAAAAAGAGTACTATTTATTTGATTACATAGTCATATTTAATTAGCCAGCTTTTCGAGTAAGAAGCAAAGAATTGGTTTAAAATGTTCATTCTCAGGTCAGAAATATTTTTAATTCAGTTTAAATTTATTAATTTTGGCTTGTTACAAATTCTTAATAATATTTTGCATCTTGGTTTTGCTGAGATTTTTTTCTTCTCCCACTTAAAAATAATGTTGTTGTATGAAAAATTCTTCATTTATGGTTTAATGTTTATAAATTGATGTTTACTTTGAAGTAGGTTCCTACATAAATTTCTGATTAATTGCTGCAATTTTCTGCAACCTCTAAAAATATCTAAAATGCAATCACATGCTCTTTAATGGAAGTTGTTGAAAAAATGAGGATTGTATTATTTTTTTGGGGCATGCGTTTCACACATTTCCAGAATAGTCAGTCCCTGATCTAAATGCTAATTGCTCCAAATAAATCATTGTCTTAAATACAATGTATTTGCGATAGATCTGGCGATTATTCATAAGGAATTTTCATAGCACTGATTGTATCCGTTTCTCCCCTGCTGGTGCTGGCAGCATAAACAGAAACTGAAACGAAAGCAACTAAAACGGAACGGAGCCGCCAAAAAGTATCTTTAAAAACGCTTTTTATGTATACACACAAACATATGTATGTACATCTGTTTGCTTTTTTACGAATTTATTTATCTTTTGTCTTCGTTGTTGTTTCTTTCTCCCCAGTTTGTCGATGCTCAATAATTTGTTTACTTGAATGCTCAAAACGCAACGCGTTTTTTTTTTGGCTTCGTTTTTTTGTTATTGTTGTTTATTTTCAACACTTTGGGGCAGTCAACAGGTAAGTCGCCCAACTTTTCCAGTCCGCACAATTCAATTAGAAGTTGTTTTATAGGAAGGGGCGTGGGAGTTTGCTTTGGCAAAATGAAAATGCTCATCGTTTTCAATGAACGCTTCGTACTTCTATTCTATTTTGTCTTTCAATGAATTTTTATTTCATGGAAATTGTTTTGCTTGGTTTTCCGAATTGTGTGCAAACGTGTTGAAATGTGCTAGCAAACTGTTTTCCACTTAGACACGAATTTGCCGATGAGTACAGAAATAGGCACAGTCAAAATTATAAATCATATCAAATTAAAAACATATGGAGCACTGAAAATCTCAGCAGCCGAGCATTTTTGCCAAAATGTGGCACAAAGTGGCTGCCGCCGTCGCTGTCGACATCGCCACCATCAATGGGTTTTGCGCCCGGTTTGAAAAAGCAACAAAATGAAGAGGAACAACAACAACGACGAACTATAAAAACTTCTCAGCAGAATTTATTGGCGTCTATAATTATTGAATGTGAGGCAATGACGATGGCGGCGGGCGACGGCATTCAGGGGGCCAGGTACGGGTACGATACAAAACTTGTAGCGCTTCAATTTCTCAACTTCAAGCGACAGCTTCAAGTTCGTTGCGTGCCCAAAACCGCTACGCATATGAGGCCGGTAGTTGGCTGTCGCTGTTTAGTACAGTCAAGCCTCTCTATAAAGTCTTTCGTTGTTTTTTGAAAGTGCTTTGGGGGTGTCCATTATACTTACTAATGAGTAGCAGAATTGTATTCTTCTATACTTTCCATTAAATTACATTTATTTTTTTTGTATCAAACAAGATCAAATAAAGTTGATGGACTCTAAAAATATATACTCTACAGAATACGTTTATAAATCCTAAACTAAATAGAAGTCCTCTACAAATATTCGTACAATTTTGTATCGCTTTCGAGCAGGAAGAATATTGCAGCTATAGTTTTTAAAAGTTTAGAAGTCATTTGTGCTAAAAAAGACGGCTTGCTTAAAAAGTTTAAGATACTTTAGTAAATATTTTGAATACAACTAGTTGAATTTTGAGAACTTAGAACTGAAACTTTTTGGTTACCATTCGAGTGATAAATGTTAACTTTAAGTTGTTAATATATTTAATTATGAAGAATTTTCAACACAAGATTAAAGAGAAGAAACAGCATTCCTATTATCATGCTTTAATTGGAGATTAAGATTAAGAAGAACAACACATATTGTTCTATATTTATAGCATTGCCAATTATTATCGACGTATCAATAAAATGATACAATCATACCTAATTGTATTGTGTTTAAAAAATCGCCTTAATGAAGTTCAAGTGTAGTTGTTACTTTTGCTTACTGGCTACCCGCTTCTACAGTATATTGTGCCTGTATCACTTTTTTTATTATTATCTTTTGTGGTTCGTTTTGTTTTTGTTGTTCTTTTCGGCGCACCACATGTGCGTTTGACAGTCCAAGTTGAGCAGAAACGAACCACTGGCAGTCCCAGTCAGGGCCAAAGCCAGAGCCAGAGCCAGACCCGAACCCAAACAGGTAGCAGCTGCTTCTAATATTAAAGTATCTCTCAGTTGCTTTTCTTTTGTCACATTTAAATTCGCCACTGGCGCTGACGTCAGACAACCTTGAACCTTTTGTTTTTGTTTTAGTGTCAGTTTTAAGTTTTCCTATTTGGCGACTTTTGCTTTCGTTATGGCTTCGAGGTGTGTGCTAATTGCGCGGAAATTGTTTGACTAGTCAGTCAATCGATCAGACATACAAATACTTAGATAGATAGATAAACATACAGCTGACCAGTTTGTTTAACGAACTATGCTTCGTTACTTCTGGCAGCTAAGCTGACAGCTAGAGCCAAGCTTATACCGATCACTTCTTTTTTGATTGAACAGCATGGGCTGGTAGTGTAGTATGGAGTATTTAAATAGCAACACGTATTTGAAAAAGAAAGCTATTTAATCAAGCTGATTAACATCTAATCTACATAACTAACATAAACTGTGTTTGCTCCAGAACCGGATACATTTTGATTCTAAACATGAAACTTCTATAGAACTCGAAGGAGAGCACTTGGTTATATATCTTATTATATTCAATTATAAAATATTTAGGAATTAAATAAATAAGATATTAAATAATACATTTTCAGACTCTTGAGAAACTTTGCAAATCTTTAACGTAATCAATATTCAATGACATTAATTTTCTCCAGCCTACAAATTAGACATTCTATAATCTTAAAAAAAAGTGCCTGAAAGGAGTTTGCAATTATTCAATGCTTAAAGCACCTGAAAAAACCTTCAACAGATAAAACGTTGATGGTATTTTATGAACTTCTATTATGCCATCTTCATCTTCCTTTCTACTGTAGCTTTAACTTACTGAGGATTTATCGGAAGAATCTGTTTGGTATCCTTATTCAAACTTTGAACAGATAAAGTATGTTATTTTCCAAAGAAAAATCAATGCGCTTATCTAGCTTAGCTAAGATAATTCAGGTTGATTTAAAACTTTTCTTTAATTGTAGCTTTATCCTTTAATCAAGTCTATCATGTATTCATTTGAAAATGCTGTTCTGTTCATATGTTTGATGACAAAGCCGACTTTTATACTCCAGGAATTGATGACATTTGACTTCATCATCTTTCTAAATATCAAATTTGATCACACTAGTATCTCTTAGCAGATATCTTCTAAAATGTGCGATAATTACCCTAAAAAGAATCTATAAAAATCATACGTTTATTTTCACAGTCTGAAACAGAGATGATATTCATTTCTCTATCAGATTGTTGATATTTTGTGAACTAATGCTCTCATCTTACTTTTATTATAGGTATTAGCCAAAGGCCTAGCGTAACGAATATTTTTTTGCAAAAACGCAAGCTAAGAAAAATGTATTCTAATAATTTCAAGAATCATGAATCAACTTATCGTGTTCATATGCTTAAGAAAATCTCCGAAGTAAAAATTCCAGCTCAACACCCTGACTAGAAAACAGTTTCTCTGGTCAGCCAGTTAGTGGGTGCCTTTTTGGTGACAACTTGGGGCGGCAGCGGCAGTTGTTGCTGCACAACATCCGACTGTGCCACATGTTGTGCGCTCGATTCAACTTACTTGCAACAGCGCTATCACCAGCTGTATGGGTCCACATCTCACCACGACTGTTCCGATGGTTGTGGCGCGCATGCGGCCGCTGCTGCCACTGCCACTGGCGCTGCTATGCTCAGAGCCAGCAGCTGCGTGATGATGAAGCTGCTGATGATGATGGTGATGAGGATGATGAGGATGTGGCGATGGGGAGGCCGGCGGCAGAGCCTGTGACTGCAATCCGCTCTGGCTTGGCGTTGGCGAGCCGGCCGCTGATGATGACATTGTTGCTGAATAATTGAAAGCGTCTTGTTGCTGTTGCTGTTGTTGTTGTTGTTCTTGGTGGGTGCGCGAGGGTGTTTGAGAGACATTCGAGCCGGAGTACAGTGAAGACATCGATGAGTCTAGCGTTTGTCGGCGTTCCATGTTGGACAGAGCAGTAGTGTGTATTTGTGTGTGTGTGTGTGTGTGTGTGTGTATGAGTGATGTATGTTGAGTGTTGCTGTCGCGCAGTTGTTGTTGCTGATGTTGTCGGTTGTAGCTTTATGTGTTTCTTCCACTCTTTTTTGTGTTTTATTTGAAATTTTTGTTGGTTTTGCGTGGGCGTTTTAATCTCTTTCTTTAGCTATTTCGCGATTTTTCTTCTTTTGTTTATTGCTACGTGCGCGCATTCGTTTCGTTTGAACTCTACAATAACAACAAAAACAACAACGACAAACAATTTAGCTACATTTGTTCGAGTCAAGCTTTCGGCTAACGCGTAATACTCAGTTCAAAAGTAATGCCAAAGGAAAGTTAATGAACGACTTCATATAATTTGTGAAACTTTAAAGTTTTTTCGTGTAATTGTCTAAATACTTCAATTTCTAAATATTTTTTGGCCAAAACAGAATTGATAAATTTGAGTTAAGTATGCTTAACATTAAGTTCGATTTTCAATTATACACATATTCTAAAAAACCGCAATACATAATAGTTGATATAATCGAACATTTTTGGAAGATGAAATTCTTTGATGGCACACTTTCTTTTTTTTTTAGTCATCGTCTTCTTTGTTTTTTCATCGCTAAAATTGTAGTTAAAATTCCATCTGAAAAGTTGGGATCAATATATTGTTCTTTATGAAATTTTTTTGTGATTTTTGACGACATTTCTATTTACTTTTAATTTATTTCCAATCTTTAATTATGTTTATAAATGCTTGCAATTTTATTTTTAACTATCACCAGCGATTGTAAAACTTAATACATCTTGAAATTCCAAAGAAACAATTTAATTATTCATGGCACTTTTATTGATATTTTTTGTCAGCACTAAACGGGCCAATGTTTATACTCTGTACATGAAATGTACAAGAGTATATTAGGTTTGCGGGAGCTGAAAAATGTAACAGGCAGAAGGAGGCGTGGCAGACCCCACAAAGTATATATATTCTTGATCAGCATGACGAGACGAGTCGATCTAGCCCTGTCTGTCTGTCTGTCCGTCTGTCCGTCTGTCCGTCTGTCCGTCTGTCCGTCCGTATGAACACCTGGATCTCAGAGACTATAAGAGATAGAGACACCAAATTTTGCACGAAGATGCGTTATGTGTGTATTCTATACGAGTTTGTTTTATTTTTTTGATTTTCCCCCCCACTTCCCCCCTATGGGGGTTTTCCCGATTTTCCATTCGTATAATCGCCTATATCTCGGAGACTATAAGACCTAGGAACACCAAATTTTAGTCCCAGATGCCTTATGTGAATACGCAGAAAATGTATATTTTGGAATTCCCCTCCCTCCCCCCTCTACCCCGCAAATCGTAACTCCCGTAATTCTTGGAATTTCGAACTAAAACTTTGGAAATACCCCCAGTTAGTTATTATGTGTCCGTATGCCAAATTTCATTATGATAGACCGATTTAACAAGAAGTTATAGCCATAAATATATTTGCTGATGCAGCGCTGCTGCAGCGCTGCTCAAGCGCTGCCCGCGGCTGTTGTTGATGTTGCTGTTTGGTTGACTGCGAAAATGCTTACACAGACACGAATTGATGCGCATAGGCATACATACACTCACACAGACGCAATTGCTATGTAAATGTGCAATTATACACCCTTTACGTGAGTTCGAATACCGAGAGAGGTAAAATAGATCAAATTTTTTTTTTTATTTTCTTAATTTTTTTTATTTTCTATAATTATTGTAAACATATGTACAGAGTATTTCAAAGTCGGGACACCCGACTTTAGCTTTTTTACTTGTTTTCTTTTAAATGTGTTTGCTTTTTTTATGGTTTATTGCTTTCAATAAAGAAATCATTTTAGCTAAGAATTCATTATATGTCATCATACGTATGTATTAGTTGGATTTTTGAGTAGCTGCTTGGCCTTTCTTTTGAACTGAGTATAAGTATTAGAAAAAACACTGAATGTTCGTTATTTGAATTTTTCGTTCAATTCGTTTCGATTTTCGTTGCATGAATAACGCGCGCGCTATCAACACTGTTCAATGTCTGCTCAACTATATTCACTATATGTTCTATATTCCGCTCTCAGATCGGCAACGGCAGCAGCACCAGCAGCAGTGGCAGAAATATATAGCAAATAAATCGACAATGACTTCATACTCGCATCGCTTCTGTGTCTGTTTATTATTGTACAAAAAGCACAACAATATAGTCACACGTATATACATAAATATACATACTCGTACTATATACAACACCTATGTACAGTGGGTGCTCGGAACAAAGAACCGCTGCTTAGTATAATTATTACATTATTATTATTATTTTTATTAATATTCTTTTCGAGCACTTTTGAATACTGATAGTTTTTGGATAATTTAGTAGCTCTTTTGTTAGTTACTGTGTCTACTGTAGAAACATGATAACTAACCAATACCTATGCATTCTATAAGTCCGAAAATACTTATCTAAAGCTTTATTTTTGCTTTTCGAGTGTCCACTGTACACATATTAAGACCTACACAAATTGATATTGCTACTAATTGTCTGTTAAAAGGCCAGCTCCGTTTTTATTTGCAGCGTTCTTTTTAGCGACTGCCCATTGTATTAAGCGTGTATATTTTGCATATGCCTTTGTAGAGCTCGGAGCACAGAAATTGCCTTTGATGCGTGAGCCTCTCGCACACATCGGGACCGATGACAATGCTCGATTTAGTCTATTTTTAAAAATTAGCGGCAAAAACTATTGAGTAATTTGGCTGCTGGTGCTGTTGTTGCTTCTGCCATTGTTATTGTTATTGCTGTTTTTGCCAAATACACATGCGCTAATGTACATAATGTATGTATGTCTTTGGCTGCCTCTGTCTGTCTGTCCGTCCGTCCGCTGCAATGCGTGTTTGAATACCCTACATTTTGGCGGATGTGCGTCAAACCCGTATACCCCAATCATGAAATTGTGTGCCAAATGCAAATGCACTCTAAAGGAAAGAGACATTCTCCGACTGCCGCCCTTTTGCAGACTCTTTCATCCGATTTGACAGCTGCAGATATAAACATTGAGCAATTTAGCTAGACATATAGTATACAGATTTGCACCGCGCCTTGAAGGTTGCCTAGAAATTATGATACGTTTCATATGTATTTTTGAAATATTACGTATACGCAATTAATGTCCATTGTGCCTGCGCCCTCCCGCTACCTCCGCCCAACTACCATTGGCATTAGGTAATTCTTGATGTTTAATGTAAACGATTCTAATTGTACTTGGGGCAGTCTAAAAATAAGTATTGGACTATAAAATTCATGTGCTCATGCATCGAAATGTGTGCGCATATGCTTTGGTTTGGGCAGTGGCTGGATTTTTGACTGGAACTGACTGGAACGAAGGCATCAATTGACTATTTAGTATGGTTCACCTATCGAGCGTGCTGAGCTCTTTTTGAACAAATTTGTGTCACTTTTTTCAATTTTGTTTGTTTGTTCGGCTCAGCCCTGAAACAATGCGCAAAATATTTAGGTTTCTGCACTGAATGACTGTTCTTGTTGCTATTTTATTTTGACAGCTGAAAACGACATTTTGTTGTGGTTGGCTATTTTAAAAACCGTGCCGTCAGAGAACGAAACATTTTTCGAATTGAAACCATAAATTGTTATGGTTCTTTGGGTCAAACTAGCTGGCGCCGATTATATATAGGTGTAGCTTATATTTTTCTAAAATGTGGCTGATTAAATTTTTGCATGACAGCGCGAACATTAGTTGTGAATTTATTGTTTTTTAGAAAACAATTCATTTACATTTCTATGCCGACAAACAAAATTGTTGTTGTTGTTTTTGTTATAATATTTCTAATTTAATTCATTCACACATTTTACTTCAAAAAATTGGCAACTGCTGAACGATGGGGAGAGCGAAAGAGATTTTAAGACGCGCGCGCCGCTTGCCAAACAACCGGACGACGCGAACTTCGAACAAGACTGAATTGTGAAAAGCGCCCTCAGTTAGCGCCAAGCATTTGGGGGCCAATTGAGCAGCAGCAATACCATGCATCTCTCTCTCTCTCTCTCTCTCTCTCTCTCTTGCCAGCAATTTGAGATCAGCAGAGAGCAATGGATGCGCACATGTTGGAGCATTCAACGCTCTGTACCGTTTCACTCAAAGCTTTATTCTCACCGCTCTCTGAGCTGAGCTCAGCTCTTCTCAGTCGGATTTGGCTTTCGAGCCGGCATCTAAAGTTAGCGGCGGCTTCGCTGTCGTCGTCATCGTCGGCTGAGTTGCAACATAAATAAACAAGTGCTCTTGGCATTCGGTGCGTCGTTAATTCATGATTTCAATTTTTAATGCGCCGGCACTGCCGCCTCCCCGATTCGCCCTTCGGAGCACCCCACAATGGGCGTCCAAGTGGTTGGCTGTTACTTTAATAACAGCACATGCATACACTCAGAAAAATTAATATTTCACATTAAGTTTCAGCGAGGTATGCTCTATTCTGAGGAGCTAGCGTTCTCTGGGATTATAGACTTCAATGCTGATATTTTAAGGAAATGCTTTTGTGGAATGCTTAATTCAAATACGGAAGAATATACTTCTATATTTATGCTTCAATATTTTACCAATTGCTCACTTGTTCTAGATTTTTGGGAATCGAAATTTGTAAAAAATTTGTTTAGTTCGCTACAAAACACCAAAATTTGTTTTACGGGGACATTTTTCATTTGAAACTAATTCTTAAAAATTTAATTTAAGAGAATAGTTATGGTTATTATTACATTTATTAATTAATATGAGCTATAAGTAATTGATCTGTAAGCGTGCTATGGGACTAAGAGAATAGATTTTTAGTAAGAAAGTAAGACGGAAACTCACAAAATGTGTGCCTCTGTAGAATTTCGAATGTTGTCTCGTGATTCTTACCCACAAAAGAAGTAATTGGCATTAATAAAAGAAACGCAAATAGCTTCAAAATTAAAGTACTTGTTATGTACTAGAAAATATTTTTAATTTTTGAGAAATATTTCCTAAATTATCCCAATTGTACTTAATCTTAAATACATATAACTTCTGCTTAGGAAAGAAGTGATTGTTGTGTTTTAAATTTCGAGTATTTTTTTCTCTGTACTACACGAAACAGAACACGTCGTGTCTTAATAGAATGCAACAGGCATTGGGCAGACTTGAGTGCGTGAGTGTGTGTGTGTGTGTGTGTGTGTGCGTAAGCTTCACGGCGCCCGCCCGCATTTAAAATGTTCTCCCTCCCCCAACATACCATCAATATCATGCATGTTGCAGTTGTTGTTGTTGTTGTTGCTGCTGTTGATGCTGTTGTTGTTGCCCGCTTTTGCTGTCCAGTCGCGCACTTCATCATGCGTCCGCATATTGGATTTTCCGCTACTTGAGCGCCGAAATGCGTGTGGCAGGCAATGGCTTGAGCTGCAACTACGACTAGCAATGCAACTTGCAACACTTTGAATACACTCTGCAACACACTTAGGATTTATATTCAGGAGAAAATCGCTTTTAAAACAAAACTACACAATCCTCCATGAAGTCGTTCTCTAAAATACCAAAACGGAGGAATTGGTACACTCAGCGAAAAGTAGATGCACAATTTCTTGACCGATTTGACTGTGGCTCAGAAGGTAGCAGAAGGTAAATATTTTAAAATTGGCGAAAATGAAACATAAATCAATATACAAAAAAAAAAATACAAAACAAAGTGCAAAACAATGTACGAAATGGAGTACAAAATTAAATATCAAATCTAGTATTAAATATTTGGACATTAGTTTAAATCAAGTATCAACACCGTTCAGATTTGCTTTTACACTCTTTTTCTTAGTGTACTTAAGAGTAAATGTTCTTATACAGCCTTTATATAAAAAACTTGCCATAATTTCGAAAATTAAATTGCGCTTCTATTTAAATTTATGTTTGATATGGATTTTATCAGACAACCCCAAAAATTTGTTTTCCATGCGACAAGGGCGATCGGTCTGATTTCTCTTATTCATAATATAGTTTTGGTTTTACAGGGTGCGCCATCTTTTATGTCGGTATGTAAATATTGAATAACTTTGTCATTAATGAACCGATTGACTTGAGTAGACCAGTGTTGAAAGCCTCAGTTCAAGAAATTGTACAGAACCAAATTAAATAAAAATATCTCATACTTGAAAATCGGTTATTTATTTTCAAAGATATTCAATGTTTACATATCGACATAAAAGATGGCGCACCCTGTATATATGGCGGTACAGTATTTAGAAATACATTCAAATCTTCCATTTTTCAAATTGGAAAAGAAAACATGTAATTGTTATATCTTAACTGCTAGATCTCACAAGGTCGTCCTAGTATTTCAAATTGTTGACATAATGTAAGCCGTTGATCAACAACTGCCAGCCTTTATATATTTTGTTTGTTTAGATTGACGACAAGTACTGTACGTAAGCTTGAATTGTAGAAAAGCTTTGAGAGACTTATATGGCTCGTAAGAAAATTCCTGTAGATTAGTGTGCCTATCTGTCTTGATTGTCTGCTCGTCGTTTTGTGGCAAGTTCGTGCCGTTCCTTGCATGCTGCACACTGGCTTGGCCTACCAATCAGCATTTTGTGTTATTATTTTCTGCTATCAACAGCAATATTTATTGAATTATTTTTTCAGCGCCGCTTCGCATCGACCATTTGGCAGCAAAGCTGCCATAAAGTCACGAACTGAGCTCCTTAAATGCTGCGTGTTTTGGAAATGCCTTGCTTGTCTGTTACATGTTTTCAATGTTGTCTGCTGTCTGCTGTCTATAGCTCTGATTTGATTACTCTTGGCGCTTGATCTCGAGATCTGGTGTGAGAAATGCGCAGCTTTTCCATTCTCATTTGACGCTCATTTCTTTTGAAGAGACACACAAGCCACAGCGTACAAATAACTTTTATTTATTTCGTTTTAATTGAGATTAATGAGCAAACCACTTGAGCCCATATTCGAATCAACCGCCCGCAACCCCTTTGACAGCTCGCATTCCCTATAATTGACGGCGTTTAGAGTGCGTTTGAACAGCTTGTTAGCTTTTTGGGGCCACACATGGGCTCATAAATTTCTGTGTAACAGAAAAATAAAGTTGACATTCAAAAAAAGCCTGAGAAACTGTTGATTTAATTAGTCATTTACAGCAGATGGTAAGGTGTTTGTGTTACACTCAGAAAAAATTAGGTTCCCTCTGTTGAAGAATACAGTTCTTGTTTTCATTGGAAGGTTCTGGACTCGAGTGCGAAATTCTCGTTTTTATAAAAGTAGATTGATTTATTTTTGTTGGGTCTTATATTCAAAATTGTGGATGTGGATGTCGAAGTTTGATTTTGTTTTTGTTTTACATTTTTCGGATATGCTCCATCGTAAATACTCCAAATCTTATTTAAATCTAAGATTGATTTAAGAATTTAAGAACCATTTGAGTAAATAACTACAGAGTGATAGTTAAATTAATTAACCGTTACGCATTCTAAGCAGAATATTGAACCTAACGAACCTTTTAACTGAGAGATCTACGGTCAAACAGGCAAATATTTTGCATGCAGATCGATCGAAAATGTCATGAGAACGCTGCTACTTAAATTTAAAATTATACGATTTATATACCCAGGTACATTTTCCTCCTACAAGAAAGTACTTTACTTTCCTTTTCAAATTCTATCTACCCATATCTCATTCGGGCACTATTCGAATTTCTTCGAATGCCATAATTAGTTTTTTTTTAATTTTCATTTCATATTCTCAAAATGTACGCTTATGCTTATAATTGATTAAGAACTGCATAATTAAACTATTTTAATAATACAAGTAACAATAATAATAATAATACAAGTAACAATTGAATGCATTAATTGTCCATGTTGATTGCGAATGCTGGCGCACATGGGTTAACATTGCGCGCCCTCTGCACTTTTTATCAATGCCAGCCTAAAACTATGCATTACATTTTCCGCAAAGACCAATTAGGGTTTGAGAAGAAACGCTGTAAATTCAGTTTAAAATTGAACTTTAAAATTGCTGTCGTTTATTTTATTAAAACACAATTCGTTTGAACATTGAATTATACATGATAGTAATAATTATAATAATAATAACCGTTATTGCATAAATTTGATGACTCTCTGGACTATGAAACAAACAAAATTGTATTTATTATGCATTGAAATCAGTTTTCAAATCAATTGCAATTCGAATTAAATTTGGGCTTGCATTGAAATAATGAATAAATGTTGCTTTATTAAATTGTTGAATAGTGTCGCAGTGTTGGGAATTCTCTAAATTGAACAGCGAGCAGCGGCATAAAATCATTTAACTAATTAACTAGTAAGAATAATTTAAATAAATACAACTAAAACATGCATGAATGAATGTTTTCAAACAAAATAACACAAAATGGATAGATAAACGACTTAGCTCATAAGCCAAAATAGCGTCTGAAAGATCAAGAGAACAAATAGTATATACTCGTAGAGCTCATGAGTGTATGCCGTTCAGAAAATAATGCGCCGATGTTGTCGCATTTTTGGCTCAAACAAAAATTATATATACTATTTGCAAAAATTGTTGGCAGTCGTAAATTAGTCGCAGTAAAAAAATATTGCAAAGCAAATGGCGCGAGTTAATTAGGCATTAGGCAGGGAATGGGCGGGGCAGGGGGGGGGCGTGGCAGTGCCTCTCACAGAAATCCCTTGATCGTTTGTTTCGTTATATTCTCATAATATTTGCTACGGCGCCAGGCCGCATTCGGCTTCTGTTCGGATCCATTGCTGCTGTTGCTGCCGTTAATGGATGGCGGTGGTAGCGGAGGCGGTGGCGGAAGCGGTGGCAGAGCATTATTAGCAGCGCATGGGGCGGCACTCACCTCGGGCGTGACGGCTGTCGAGGCACTGGGCCCAAATTCTGTGCTCACAGCGGTCAGGCCATAACCCTCCACTTCACTGTCGGATTCGATGGGCTGGGGCAAGGGCAGCTGGAGTTGTTGCTGCTGTTCAGGTGTGGGTGTAACGCTCTGACTATGCAGCTCGGCAACACCCACCACACTATCCTGATCATTGTCGTGCTCGTCCCGTTTGCTGGGCGAGCCATGCTGGGCGGAGAAGAAGCTCAGCTCGGAGCTGTCGAAAGACATGTTGACAGGCGATTGTGGCAGGTCGGGTATTTCGAAATTGCTGAGCGTGGAATCATCGGCCTCGTCGAAGGAATTCTTTGCCGAACCGATGTAGGAAGACGTGCGGCCCGAGGCCGTTTGAAAAGAGGACGAGTGTGAATTGGGTGTGAAGTTGCCCTCAGAAGCGGTCGCAAAGGATTCATCCTCTGTGGAGCGCGAGTGCCAGTCCTAAAAAACAAATGGAAAAGGCATGTAGTGTGTGTGTTTAAAAATATCGATAAGAAAATATTCTTAGTTTTTCAAAAGAGTGCTTGTCAGTCCGTAGATAGTACTCGCGGCTAAATTTGAACATTTTGGAGTCTAAAAACATTTAGTTGCCACTTCAAATGAGTCATTACTGGTCCACATACAACTAAATACTTTTTAAAAGAATAATGTTGAGTTGAATGGTTTTTTCTAAAATAGATCATTTTGGAATGAGTGGTTTATGTTTGGCATAGTTTGAAGATCAATCATTTCGAACTGAAAAAAACTGAGGAAATCATTTTAAAATACAAACACATTTATAATGATTTTTAAATATATATGTAGTTGTGTGAACAGCTTTTCAAATATTTAGTGCTCTTTTATACGAAATGTTGTTAAAATAGGAAGCATATACGCATTATTTTTAATATATCGCATTATATTGTACCCTCCAGTGGATTTGCAAGAATAGTAGACCACACATTATAGGCAGATATATGACCAGAAGAGAGACAAATTCAAGATGCAATGCCTGTCCAGACTGCTTCAATCATTACTCTTTTAATGCGTTGGAATGTTGCATCTAGGCTTTCTTATAACAACTCCTAAATACCCTGTGACCATCCTTTTCTCCGCTCAAGCCATTCAATTGAAATAAAATAAGGCAATGCCTTTTGACAGCTATATGCAAGGCTTATAAATTCTATTGCATAAATGATCTTTATAAACACACAAGTCTTTAATACTATGCTTGATTTTTACACAGTTCTTTCCTATGACAGATTATCGATAGCAGACTTTAATGAAACATAAAGATATCGTGAGATGCTGTAAAACTCCCAACTAATAGACGTTTTGGGGAAATCCTCATAAGCAAGAATTGTTTCCTATTTAGAATGATTTTACGACCAAAATCTCGTATGAAAACTCTATTATTTAAAGAAACGAATTATGTATGCTTTTAAATAAACTTGTTGTGCATATGAGTGTGGAAAGTCTATTTAATAAGTTTGGTGGCCTTAGCTATTATGGCTTAAAAGTTTAGGGTGTACATACGAACACACAGAGGGACAGACGGACGGATGGACCTATATATTTTACATTAAGAGTCCACCCTTGCACAGTTCTGGTACAATATATATAAATTTCTGCTTAAATCGATCTGTCATATATGTACATTACCTCACTGCCGCCACTGCCGAGCTTTTTGTGGCTGGGGTCGGCATCCTGCTGTTGTTGTTGCTGCTGTTGTTGGACATCGCGTATGACCACGTCCAGGGACTCGGCGACCTCGGCAATGGCGTTCAGTTTGTGTGAAATGGCCGCGCAGGCCAACTCATTGCTGCCCGTCGGCGTCACCGTCAGGGTGGTGGAGGCGGCTGTGTTATTGGCATTGGCCTCCACGGGTGTCTCGCTGCCCGCACTGCTGTTGCGACCACTGTCGTGGAGCGGACTGGGGCTGCTGTCCAGTGGCAATTCGTCGAGGACGACACTGGAATCATGGGGTTGGGTTAGAGTCTCATCTAATTGCTGTTGCAAGGAGGAGGCGGCCGAGTCAAGTGAAGCGGTACGGGAGTGTGAGGGTTCGGTATAGTCGCTCTGTGGATATGCCTCGTTGTCGCTCTCTTGATGAATGAGCGCCTTGATCTTGTCCAAGCTGGGTGTGGACTCTTTCAGCTCTTCCTCAGTGATCAGATCGCGCTCTATGGATGCCTTGGCAATTTTTGTTCTATTGCTTGATGTGCTAGCTGTCTCGTCATCATCGTCGTCATTATCGTCTGCGTTCGGATCGTAATCTTCGCTGCTCTGTTCTGGCAGCTTGCTAGACACATTGATGGCATCCAACAGCTGTGACAGCTCATTTGTTGAGGCGCTCAACTCAGCATTGGCGCGCCCATTGCTCAAGTCTTCCTCTTCCTGCGCCAAGGGTGCACCATAGGTGGTGGCATGCACGGTTACTTGGCCGGTGGGTAACACTTTTGTGCCATTCAGTGTCACCTCTTCCACCGAAATGGTGGGCACTGTTAGGGCCGGTGGTGGTGGGGATGGCGATGACGCCTCATCCTTTGATTTGGCAAACAAATTGCGAAATCTGGCAAACATTTTACTTTGATAATCGCACAATTGACGTAATAGTTAAACACGTTTTTGGCACTCGGCCATATACTTTATAAGTATTACTATACTTGTATTTGTATAGATATATAGAGCTGGATGTATTAATTATTGTGCTATATTTTCACAGGATTACACGCAAAAGGCATGAGGAAATTTTCTATTATTAACACACACGCACTCACAACATACTCGAAGAAATATTTCAAAATCTTTTCCAAACTTAAAATTTCCAAAATTTTCTTCCAACACACTTCAGCGGTTGACAGGCGCTTTTCCAAATTTTTCCATATACTATATACTCGTATGTATAGTGTGCACTAATTCTTCCCGCTTTTGACAACTTGACAGTTTCTGCGTGTTATATATATATGTTTGTATGTATAAGTATATAGAGTTTTTCAACAGATTTGCCGGCAAAGCTGTTTTCCCGCTGTTCTAGCGACCACGACGTTCCACACTGGACCACGCACCGAAATAGACTGGCGCTCGATTTTGAACATCTTGAGTGCTTTTCCCACGTTTTGTTTTATATTTTTGTCAGCTCTTGGCTTTTATTTTTGTTAAAGTGACATGTTTTATTATAATTGCGTGGATTGTGAGTGCGTTGAGTGTGTGTCTCATTGTTGTTGTTGTGGCTCTGAGTGAATTGTGTCTGTGTGTCTGTGTCTCTCCTCGTTCATTTGCTATGCGTGCCATGTCAGGGCTTTATGCATAATGCATGCACTATGCGGCGTATGATTAATGCAATTACATGAGAGCCACACTGTGCAGTGCATAATAAGCGATGGTGGTGCTGGCTGAGCTTGACCGCTTCACCTGACTCTGTAACGAAGGCAACTTGCCACTGCTGGTACTTACCTCTTGCCAGTCTGTGCATCCAACACGAAAGGCTCCTTCAAGCGCTTCTTGAGCAGGCGCCCCAAACGCACCATTCGACCCACTTCCACCAGCAGTTGTTCACGCGCCACCAAATGCCGTTGCAGGCTGGCCGTGGCATCCATAGTGGCCGAATTAGCCGCAGCAGCAGCAGCAGCCGCAGTTGTTGTTGCAACAGCAACTGCAGCATCGCCATCAGCATCGCTGCTGATGCCGCTGCTGCTGCGATTGTGTTGCTGCCGCTGTTGTTGCAGTTGCGCTGCGGTAAGCTGACGGGCCAAGTGCAGCCGCAACGCCCGCAGCTGTCTATAATAGGCCTCGACACTGCGATGAAAGACGGCCGAGACGCGCAGTCGGGTCATCTGCTCCTGACTGATGGCCTGCAAACTGTGCCAAGTGCGTTGCAGTTGCTGCTGCGTGCAACGTGCCACCGCCGCATCTAATTTGCAAGAGGCACGCAACGTTTGAGACGCCTCCAGCAGTTGGCAGCCATAGTTGTAGATGCTCTGTCCGAAATGTAATGGAAATTGTTTGTGAAATGAAATGCATTCATTGTTGTTTGTGCCTTGAAATTCAGGAATTTCAATTCAAGATTATGTTCCTAATGCTATGGTCAGACATGCCAATAATTTGTTTCAATTCACGAGTTAGTTTTGAAAACTGGCTTCCAAAAAAAGGTTGTACTTGCAGGAAACAAGATGTTAGTAAGCGATTTCTTATTCCAAGTTTTTGCCAGTCTGAACAGAATTTGTAGGACTCATATAATACTTATACAGACAGAGATATATCTTATCTAATAAGGTTGAAATCATAAGTACAAGTCATTTCATATGTTTTTGAGATCACTTTTGAAAATCTCTTAAATGTTTATGGTATCAGAATCGAATACTAAAGTACTTATATTATTTAAAATATGGCATTGCAATGGAACTCAAAATTTATTAAAATTGAGCTAGATATATATTTTTTTTTGGCAAGCAATACTAATTTTTTATGTAAGCCATTAATAAATGCTCCGGAAATACATGTTTTCATAGAAATCTGAGATAAATAATGCTTAATGCGAATTATTTTAAAATTTTGAAGAATTCTTTTGGTAACTTTTGGTCTCGTAAACTAAAACCATGGGTTCGCTTCTTTAAACTTTTTAAAATGAAGTTTTTAAATATTCGAAGAAATCGTATTCGAGAGCGAACACCTTAGTGAACGCATTCTCTCTCTCTTTCTCAGTTGCACAGACGAAGGTTTTTGAAAATAACATTTAACTAGTACTTAGACTTTTCAACTGATGTCGGAAACAATTATATGTCTATTAACAATTATATTCATCTATAATAATTTAAAATACTGATACATATAAATGAATCGGTTTTAGGGCATATTCTAAAAGATTTCAAAGGAGAGTTTCAATTTGTATCTGAATTTATTGCTGCCTCACAAGAAAATTTGCAAAACTCGTCTACAATTCATGAGTTATGGCTTTCGTTGCGCAGTGTAAACATTGAAATAGTTTTCTTCAAGCCCCCCAAAAAAGTAAAAAAAAAGGAGGGCAAGAGAAACTCACCCGTCCGGTTTCCTCGAACCCCTGCAGCTCATCCTTCTGCACCTGTATCTCGTGTATGTTGCAGCCGACATGAGAATGGCAGCGCACCAGCACCGCATACAGCTCGTCCAGCCACTGCAGCGCCCTCCGCGCGTCCTGCTCGTACGCTTGAATGTGTGTCACCTGCTCCAAGGTGAGCTTCTGCAGTGCCAGGCTATCGCCAAACAATTGGCTGCGCGAACGACTCGCGTCCAGCAGACGCCGGACATTGGCAATGTCGCCGCTTTGGTCGACGTGTAGGTCACGGCCGAGAGCATCTTTGACCGGCATGGCCAGCATGTCGCTGAGCTTTTCGCCCTCGCGCACAAGTTCGCGTTCGATGTTCGCTGGAGGCCAACACAAATATTGTTGTCAGCGTGAAAGGTTCGATCGAACTTGCATGCAACTCACCCAACATTTGTTCGCTGCTCTTCAGCTGTTGCAGCACACTCTCGGCCACCTCGTAGTCCAGCCAGTCCAGTGCAGTGGCACTCGATCCACTGCCCATCATGACCAGACCTTCGAACACCGATGTGGTGCGCTCAAAATATTCGCTCACCAGGCGATAGAAACGCAATGCTGTTATCAGCACATTGCGTCGGCGCTCCAGGCGTTTGGCGAACGCACGACACACAAACTGCATGAAATCGCGTTGGGAGAGCAGATCCCTGCAGGACAAGCTGCCGTCACCGCCTCTCTCACGTGTGAAGCGCTCAATTTTGTAGAGCAGCTCGGCATAACAGCCGTAGGTGTCGCGGCACTCCAACTCAAGGGCATCGTGGGCGGCACGCAAAGACTCGCAGGCACGCACATCACCGCCCACGCCGCTCTGCTGGCGACTGAGCAGCTGCTCCGCGTTGTTTAGTATCCAGTTAGTGACAAAGGCGACGCCCTCCTCCAGCGTGCACAGTTCACGTGCCTCACGCAGCGAGCGCAGCAACTCCAACCAGGCCGTACGTATCTCTGTCTGCTTCTTCTCGATTTCATTGAGTCGCTGCTCGATGCGCGACCGCTCACAGCATAGATCGGGCGGCAACGTGGGCTTGCTCGACGACATTGTTGTGGTTGCGGTAGCCGTGGCGGCTGCGACAGATGCTGTGACCGTGGCATTCGGGCTTGAACTTGTGACTGCAGGTGTTATTGTCTGTGGTTGCAATTCCCCCCCTGCCCGGCTGATCAATTGAGGCGACGGCGGCTGTGCGTAGACCTCGTTGAAGCGCGCCAAGATCGTATTACCTGCAAGAAAGTAGAGACATAGAGGGAGATGCGGTCATCGCATTAGTTTCAATGAAAAGCTATTTATTTGTTGGGCGTGTGCGTGGTGTGTGTGTGTGTGTGTGTTTTTGTGTGTGTGCAGAGATCAGTTATCACATTTTCTAAAAGCATTTAAGTCGGTGCACAAAAGTGAAACCCCAATGTGCGCCACTTTGCTTGTGTTGTTTTAAGTTATTTTCAAATTTAAGTGAAAGGTCATGCAACAACAACCCACACAACCAGACACACTCAGACACATATGCACACCTACGGCTGTTTAGTTGAAGTTTGCGCTTTTGTGGCATTCTCCACACTTCTTTAGAGTGTACACATACATTACTTCTTATAAATAGTTTGACAAATCGGCGTACTTTTTACAACTTGAAGAAACCTAATGATATCGAATGGATGAACAGTTGTATTCCAACAGACTGCCTTGCTTTTTATTCGAATGTTAGTTTTTGTTTTTATAAGCTCATTTTTTCATTTACTAGCTATTAAGTCGACAAATACAGGTTACCTATATAAAGAAAAGTATACAAAAGTTCTAATAACGACTACGCATTAAACAAAACAATTTAACGTCGTTTATTTATTCAAGACTTAAAATAACATTGCTTAAGATTTCTAATCCCATTTCTACTTAATACCCATAAGTTTTATGGGCTTTTAGATTTGGTAGGCAAGTTTGAATGGCCTTGAGATTTCTCAGATATTTCAGACACAAAGAGTTAATTACTGCAAGTCGGCGACTTCTCTTAAAAAAACTTTCTTGAAATGTAAGATGCCGCAGTTAATATAAGCTAAAACCGCAAATTTACTTGCATCGAATTTGTTTTTAATTTTTAATATGATTTCTGATAAGTTGTATATTTACATATTTATATTTGTATATTTTATGATAGCATGTATTCATTTCCTGTGTAGTTGGCATAATTTTATTGAAATCAGACTCAGGAAGTTGTTATTGGACAGGCCATTCATTTACAAAACATTCACCCGATTTGGAATCTGAACTAAACCCCAAAAAAGTTTGCATCTCACAAATTCAACACATTATAATGGATATTGCTTTGAATTGAAGTAATATTTAAATGACGACCTTTAAACTTATTTAAAAAGTGTATAATTGTCGTAGGAACGTTCTTTTGTTTTTCCCAAATATTTACTGTTTGTTTTTCAGGTGGTAGAATGCTTAAAACGATGCATCAATATTTAATAATTTGTCTTCTTAAAGTAGTTATTTATTCACAAAGTATTAATGCACTTAAAAATGCCACCCAACTAAATATCTTAGCATCAGGCCTTAAGCTATTCATATCTTAATAATGCTTTATATAAAAAAAAATGGGATAAAGCAATCCTGGCTTCATTTGCATTTTATGAATTTCTTTGCTTTTTATTACAAATCATTTGCAAATCATTTGGCGCTTCCAAATACTTTTCCCGTCCACTGTATATGTATCATACAAAAAATGCTCACAACAAATTGAAAAATAATAAAAATAAAGCCATAGCCACGCAAAACAAGTTTGCTAAGCATTTTAACTTCTATCTTTTTTCATTTTAAATTGAAGCACGCGTGCTTGTATGTACAAGTTGTTGTTGTTGCTTTTGCTGTTGTTGTGTTTTATGTCACATTCGCCATCAACTCTACAGTTGACACGCCAACTCAAGCGACTCAACTGAACTGAACTCGTTTGGCGGGGGCATTGAAATTATGTTAATTGCGCACGCAAATTGCGTTCGCCAACGCGAGTATTAAACGAAAGACTTAGGCAGCGAACTTGCGCGTACTCACCCATTTCGATGGCCGTCTCAATGCTGCGCTGCACAAGCGCATGCAGTTGTGCACACTTCTTAAGCTCCACATCCGCTTCCGCTGGCCGCAACGACTTACTGTTCGCCAGCAGTGACAGCAACTGTTCCATGGCGGTCTGAGTTAGGGCGTGCGTCTTGTTGAATTCATCGATAGCCTATCGAAGCAATAGTGCAGGCGATTGTTAATTTAATATTGTGGGGCCATTTGATTTGCAAACATTTACCTTGCGTTGTTGTAGCCACAGATCATAATTGAATTGCAGCGTGCCGCCCAGTTCCTCGGGCAGATTATGTGGCTCGATATATTTGGAAAGGCGCGCCTTCGAGAGCACCAGCGGCTGCAAATAAGTGTGTGTTAGACAGGCAGATCGAGAACGGACTAGAAGTTTTACCTTCGGCTATGCCGAAGCAATGTTCCAGTCACTGTTTGTCTGAAAAATGAAATGTTTTCATGTCTAAAAGCCCTTATAATGCTGCCCAGTAAAAATTTGAATTGAAACTTTAGAGGAGAAAACTTTTCATTCAGATTCTTTAGAATATTTATGGCTTCTATGTTTGACAGCCATAAAGTGCAGCGATGCGATCTGATCGACTCTGATGATTACCAAATTGTATACGAGTATACCTCATTATTTACAGTGAAGGGTACAAGAACAGGAACAAAACAAACAAAAAAAATAAAATAAAAAATTGGTATACAGCTCATGCCAATCGCCTTCATTGGCAAACATTTGCATAAAATGTGGGTTACCTCGCCTCGGGTCTGCGACTTGGCGCACGGCTCCACATGCTTCTCCCAGAAACCCTCCGCTCTGACTAGATACAAATCGATGGCAATATCGCTGCCAAAGAGCGCGTACAGCGTTCTCACATGGGTGCGTGTAATGCGTGAGCTGCTCTCCTGGGCGTTTACAATGACTGTGACACCGTTTTGCAAAATGGCAGCGCTGCGAAGTAGAGAGGAAAAAGCCAAGAGTTGTGATGAAAAGCCAGTCCATTAATGTGTTCATTAGCCGCAGATGCTGCTGCCTGACAAACCGCTTAGCGCTTAGTCCGCTTGGGATTTCGTTTAGAGCTCAAAACATTTTTAATTATCAACCTGCCTCGGGCTGTTGATTGATTGGACTGTGCGCTGTCATAAAACATCACCCATAATTTATTTTGTCTTTTGTTGCTTCACGGGTTTTCATTGAATATGCAGTCGATACAAAACAAATTTCATTGCTCGTAAAACTCTATAATTGGCCTGTTGCTTGTTTTTGTTCAGTTGCTACAAAATACCCAACGGAAAACTAGGCCTATGTGGAGCTGGTCGACCCAACGATACGCTTTTCATCAAATTGGGCACAAAAATGATGCAATCTTACGATCTTATTTTATGCGCTCATGCTCTCTACTGGGCGTATTTTAAAATTTTCACACCTTACTGACTTAATATGTATGTGTGTGAAATGTACAAATATTTCAGCAAAGCAATGCAGTTTATAAAATTTTTCAACCGGATGAATAGAATCCGAGTTAAAGCCCAAAAAGTAACTCGCTAAAAAATTAACAATCGAAAAACACTTAAGTTCTGTTTAAAAGTATCTAAAGGCCTCAGCAGTAGAAATGAAACATACTACTAGTTTTTAAGTTTACCTTAAAAACTTTATAATTTAATAAAAAACAAGTTCTGTTTAAAACTCGGTAAATGAATCAAGTTACGATCAGATTACGCGATTCAAGAGTGGTCCTCATTCGTGATCACCTATTTATAATCCTTCAAAACTCTCCATGTAATTAAATATCTCAAAATTAATGATGCAGGTGTGTTTTTGCTTTTTTCCCCACAAGTTTACTGATGACCAATATTTTTCCTCCTTGATCGGCGCTTGATCGTGATTCTAAGCTCGCGTTCTAAGCGTCAACTAAGTAGTTCCTATAGTTGTTTGAATCTGTTCGGTGTGACTATTTCCTATTCTGAAAATTGCTCATGAATGGAAACCGTTTTAAGGACTTCCAAAAGGCTTGTACCGCTCATTCGAAATTCTTTCTGATCGTGAAAGGGATTGAAATTTATTGGAGGGGACTATTTTGAATAAACTAAAAATCAATTCTGTTATATTATTTTATAATTATTGAAATTTTTTAATCATTATTTATTCTGGAACAGAACTAGTACTTAATTTTGAATATTTGAGATGGCTACAGTTTTATCCAAAGAGTTCAGCTAACCTCTCCCATCCTACAAGGCTGAAAAGCTTGCTTATGGCAGCTATTATTGGCTACCGATACCTCATAGCTATATAATTTGTGAGCTGAAAGAGCAGGTGATTATAAGCTGAGTGATTGATTTCGACAGATGATCGATTGGTATTTAATTGTGTGGAGAATGGACTTGCTTGTAAGCAGTTAAGCAAGTAAATACATGCAGTATTGTTTGAGGTTATATATATATTTTACAAGAAGTGTGTTCCTTTCTGAGCTGTAAACTTCAAAAGAACAGGGCACATGCCCAACCCTAACTAGTGTCAGCTGACAATGCGAGTGTGTAGTAGGCCTACAAGTATGTAGGTATGTAAATCATGAGGATTGAACCTGCTGCTGGTCATTTGCATATGGTCGCATGTTAATTAGGCAGCTTAGCGGTATTCACAGCTTTGTGACATCAAGAGGCCAAGCTGACAGGGCATTAATGTTTGTCTTTGTGCCCATTTTGGGGCCAACTTACTTACCTCAGCGAACGCTTCAGATAGTCTAGTGTTAGTTCCAGACAGCGGCGATTCCACAATTGTAAATCATTGAAGATATTCACAATGAATATGATTTTCTTGTCGCGATCATAGCCGCCGCACAGATAAGCGCTGCGCGTCTGGAGAGCATTCAAAACATCTTCCTCCATTGTCTGCTGCTGCTGCCTCTACTCCCTTCACCTTCTCTTTTCTCCTCCACATGGATTTTGTTAATTGTCGTATGGGATCGGATCGCGGACAGCTTTTCCTCTGACACACGAGTCGCTTTATTTCATTTCTAAATAGTCATTTCTGTAAAAGGCAGAGAGAAACAAAATGAAATAACATCGGAGTTAGAAGCGCAGAGAAGTGTTTTCATTTATATGACTATTTATTTTCTTTGCTGGACAAGCGTAGCTTTTATTGTTGGCTTGAAAATTAATACGAGTCGCAGCATCACAGTTATAAGGCAGGCCGTTTGTTGTTGTTGTTGTTGTTTTACAATGCTTTTCCAATGCCGTGAAACACGTTTGACAACTCGCATGGCTTAGCGGCCGTGCCAAGCTTTACAGTAAGCCAGCCATCCAGTCATCTAGCTAGCCAGGCCAGCCAGCCTGCCTACTGCCTTCACTCACATGATTTTCACTATTTTCATGTTAGTTTAAGAGGCCTCGCAGCCTCACTGCGCTCACTGAAAGCCTTAGCGCGGAATACACGCGGAAAATTGCTATAAGAAACCTATTTAAAGCTAAAAAAAAGATCCAAAATTTGCAATCATTTCAATTTTAGATCACAAGGTTATTCAAGAAACTAGCCCATCACGAACATGTTGGAGTGAGAATCAAATTAAAAAACTAATTCTGTTTATTACTTATGCACGTTTTCCGAAATTTGCATTATTTTGGGTCTACATTTTGATTAAAATTATGTATAACTTGCAAAAACCTTTGAACATCGTTGGTCTGAGATTCTCCGTTTTTTTTTTTAAGTAAAAAATGTAGCTAGTTAACAAACATTAACTTGTATTCCTCTTATCACTTTTTGTTAGTTTTAATTAATGTTCCTTAATATTTGTTTGTTCGGTATTTAAACGTCTTCGCTCATATTTGGCTGTACGATAAAACAGGGCACACATTTCCCGAACTTGTCGAAAGCGCTTTTGAATAATTAAATTTTTGAAAAAATACACATTTTTCTTCCTGACATAATCAAATACTGCTTTATGAAGATCCAGGCTATCCAAAAGGAGGACACTGTCAAGCGTCAAGCTATCCCCGCCGAGAGTAGGCGCTACTATGTTTGGCAACGGCATTGTTTTAAAATGTAGCCTCCACATACAAGTAAAAACCTATGGTTTTATTTAATAATACCAAAAACGTGTTTCTTACGGAAGCAAGCGAATTTCAATTGACGATGGAACCGGCCTATGTGAATGCTTTAATTCGAATGACAGAAGATTGTGTTGCCAGTTATTTAAGAAGAAATTTTTCCTCCTATGACAGAAATGTATAGCCATGCCTCCATTTCTAAAAACGACAGGCTTATCTATTTCACTTTTCAAACACAAATTTTAAGCAAGAAAATTACGATCGCAAATGTGCGGAGGAAAGTAAAAGTAAATGACGAATTTGAACTACACTGTGATCCCTCAATAACTTGTTTTGTTAAAACTTGAGATGTTTTATGAAATGTTTGAAGGTATTTTTGAATGGAAAATATAATCAAATTACACGAGCAGCTTAATTGCATTCTTATTATTAATAATTTCTTTCAAAAGTGTCGCATTATCTCGACTGGCAGGATACTAAAGCTATTTTTTTCAATATCACAATTAGCTCAATAAGAGATGAGAGAAGCAAAAACCACGATTTGTTCTAAGAGTATTCTCAAACCCCAAATATTTAAGTATGGTATTGCAAAGACATTCTCTTTTATTTGTTGGACTTTTTCCCTTTGACTTTTTTATAGTTTGCTGATTTATTTCAGCCCTACAATGATATAAACTGTTTTCATTATAAATATTTGCATAGAATTTCCCAGCCCACATCTAAGCAAACTTTTTCGTGTGAAAAACTAATATTTATTGTACTCGCTTAGAAATAGGGCTTCCATGTTTATTATTTATATATGCATATATATTTGAATCTTTTATGTATTCCTTTGACTGCTTGTTTTTTTTTTTTTGATAAACAATAAACTGCAGAATAAGTTAAGATAATAATAAAGGGAAAATAAATAAACTAAATGGAGTAAAAATAACAATCGAGAGATCAACAAGGTTACAAGTAGAAGGTAAATTTCATGCTAGCCCGACTCTTGAATACCCTGCACTTTTCCCCGCTACATCCATTTAACTAACTAAACTAAAACTGCCACGCCTTTTTCTGCCAGAACACCCTTTGATCCATAAATAACATTTTTAATATCTATTTAATGCGAAATTTTTTTTGATTTCTACAAAATTCAATGCATTTGAGCAAAACTCGTTTTATTTCTTGAAGTGTACTTAGAGCTGGTGTTGTTGTTGTTGTTTTTGTTGCTATTGCCTTATAGTTGCCAAATAGCTTGCAACATTCTTCTACTCAGTATGGCCATCTAGAAACTTGAGAATAACTTAATTGGAACACTATAATAGATACATTTTTTGTGAGTGTAGTTTCCGGTGCTGAAGAATACTGTATTCTGTACTAAATTTTGAAACGCCTCACAGAAAAACCATGTTTTGTTGCAAACTTGAAAGCACTTGAGTGCAAATTTGTATCCAAAACCATAATAGACTCAGTTTCTTGAAGTGTAGTTTGAGCTGCTGTTGTTGTTGTTGTTTTTATTGCTAATGGAAAATTGTATTTTTTTAGGCATTTTTCAAATGCCGCATATTGCAGCAAACGGCAAACGTTGACACAAATTGACGGACCAGCCAGCCAGGTTGAGGCAGGCCAGCAAACTTTTTCTGTGCCACCACAACAGGCAGGCAGCTGCTTTTTAAGAAGCGGGAAAGGCAGCGGCAACGGCAACGGCAGCAGCTTAATTTGTTGCTGTTGACTGATAAGGGGCGCGGCACTTACACATGCGAGTTCACACACACACACACACACATAATAAAAAAAATCAACTCTCATCTGGCACGCTCTTCTTTCGCTTGCATAAATCCTGTTTTTAAGCTGCAACATTTGCCTTCATTATACTTTGTTGCTGTGCATGTAAAAGTCAACAACAAGTACAGCAACAACAACAATTACAACAACAACAACAACAACAGCAGCAGCAAGCATTTTAAGTCTGTCTTACAGTTATGCGTAAGTGGCTGAAAACTTGCTACGTTTTTATGGCCGGCTGACTGGCTGCCTGGCTGCCTGGCTGACTCGCTGCCTGGCTGGCTGGCTGGCTGCTAACAAAAATTCTAAGTTGCAACAACAGCAACCAACATTAACAATTTGCACCACTTGAATGCACAACAACCTGTTCAATCGGTTGACTGCAAAACTGCTGAGGCAGCAAACGCGACTCATAATTATAATAATAATAATTGTCAAGTGGTCGGCCATTAGAGCGCAGAAGTCTTTGAAGATGGCGATGGTGGTGGTGCGGTGGTGCGGTGGTGCTGTTGCGGTGGACCTTATGCAACAAACAGCAGACTTGCATGCTTAGCGGTTTACATTCCCTCTTCCGCATTGAATTACAACTAGCAGTTGACATTATGGCGAAGACGTAACTTGAAATTCATGTTTCTTATTCCATACACTGTTTTTGCAAATGTCAACAAAACACAATTCAATACCAATTTGAATGATGAGCTTATATTGAAAGTCAGCAGCAATGGCAGCAACAACAATACTATAAGAATGAAGGCCTGCGGCTCTTAATGGCCCGCTTTTGTTTAACTTTTTGACGGCACACCTTAGGCATAAAAATCACTTAAAAAATGCCACTAAAATAGCCAAAAAACACGTCAAAAACTTGGCCTCCGAGTTTTTCAATTTCGTAAACTTTCTTGAGAACTCTTTCTTTCTTTCCTCTCCATCTGCTGCTTCTTTTGTTGCGTTTTGTGCAGGTTTTGTTTTACGAGTTCAAGATAAGATCTTTGTGGGCTGTTATTGTTATTGTGCGGGTCGGCGAAAATGAGGGACTTGACTTGTCTTGTCTTGTAAATTAATTGAAAAGTTCAGCTGGCTGCCTGTTAAGTGGCATCGGCAGCAGCAATAACAACAACCATTAGCAATGCTCCATTTTAAATTTTGTTTTAACTGCTGACAAATGTCTTCTAATTTTGTTTGTTATTATATTCTTTTTCCCTCCATTTAGTGCCAATTACAGTCGAATTTTTGAGTGAAATTCATCGCTTTTTAATGCAGTTTACTTGTTTGAATTGTTTAATTGTTTATTCATTATGGATTTGGATTTAAAAAAGTGCATTATATTATGCGCATTAATTATACATTACTCTGTTTTTAATTAGGGTTTCATTGCTTTCCTTAACTTTGCTTTTTAGGTCATCGTAAACGAAATTAAGATGCATTCTTTATTTTTCACATTTTAGGCCTCTGTCTGTTGATTTGGTAAAGTTTATTTCCACAAATAGGTATTCTATAGCTCGTTTTAATAGGCGGATATCCAAACTCAACACTTGAATTGTAATTCAAATTCATTGAATTTTATTATTATTCATTACTTATTATTTATTATTGGTTCATTGATTACATTTTCTGCTGCAAATAAAGTTCTTTCTATAACTTCTTGCAACAGATATCAGCATTTATTTCTTGGCAACCAATTAATTTGAATGAATTAAAGATAAATGGCCAACAGAAAATAGTTCTAAGCAGTCTGGCGGCTGCCATAAGAGCACTAATCTCTACCTAAAACACATGGTTCTGCATATCAAAAACCTGTTCAAACTGTATCAAATGTATTTTAAGATGCGATTCTTTTTTTTTTTTTTAATATTTTATGGGATTAAATGCCAAGTTGCTGGGTTTGTCTGGTAAGTCACTTAATTATCAACCTGCTGGTATTCATTAAACTTATTTGTTCACTCATTTAAATAACTTCACTTGTATTTATTCAACTAAGCAAACATTCCACTATGCATGTCTTGGCGCTTTTTTGCTCAAAATATTCCACTGGATAAGCTCTATTTTTCCAAAGAGCTGCGCCCACGATCAGCGCTAAA